TCCAGATTATCTGTCAGTAGTCAAAAGACACACAGTCAGTCAGTCAGTCAATAATACTCTTACCCATTGAAGGGATCAGGTAATTAAATTGTAGTCCAATAGAACTAGTCTCTTTGATAGGTTGCTTGAGGACCCTCTCTTGTCTTTCCTTTACTAGTTTGGCTATGTACAACTCCTTTTCTTTAAGGTCTATAAATTAATAGAATATTAATAATTATTATTGATTGATGATGATACACTAACCAGTAATGATCTGCTTCTCATTCTGTGATTGTTCCTCTACTTGTGATGTCAGTTCGGCTATAACATTGTCTTTCTCAGAAATGAGATTTTGATTCTTGTCTACACAATAAAAATATTCTCTCATCTAATACATGCTGTGTGTATAGTTAACTAACCAATAATGATCTGTTTCTCCTTGAGATATTGTTCCTCCTTCTCTTCCAATAGTTCAGCAACTTTGACTTTAAGTTTCTCATAATCTTCTACATTAATAGAATATTCTCTCATCTAATATTATGTACTGATGATACACTAACCAGTAATAATCTGTTTCTTCTTCTCTACTTGTGTCTTCTCTTCCGATATTTCAGCAACTTTAGCTTTAAGCTTCTCATAATATTCTATTATCAATAAAAATGCAAAGATAATAAATTAAATGATATTTTGTTGCTTAATCAAACTTGCACTGCATGTACAGTAGCCCATAAATACATGTACTATGATTATTGCTAATGATGCCATATATGGTAAGCAGAGCTCACTCTACATCAATCTCATTATTTCTAATGCATTTAGAATTTGACCTATATTGAGTACAGGGTACTATTTCCATACTCAACATTCTCTAATCCACTAGTATTATAATGTAAACAATGTACACATAAACAACAGTACAACACAATAGTACCTAATTCAACAGTTGATTTATCCTTTTCTGCTTGCTCAAGGAGAGTGGTAGCATCATCAAGTTGCTGACTAAGTGTTGCCTTTTCTTGAAGAAGCTGTTGCTGCTCTTTGTCTCGATCTTGCTGTATCTGCTCCTTCTCTTTTATTTCTCTTTGAAGCTGTTCCTCATAGAATTCTCTTTCTCTTTCTTGTAGGTGCCCTCTGAGTAATTGAACCTCTTTGCTTAATCCTAAATTCTCCCAATCACTCAGTATCCTTCTTCTTAGTTGATCTTGATATTGGTCACGAGGTATTACACTAGTAGACCAATCATTATCACTAGTATATCCTATACAGTAACAAAAATAGTGGACAATAAGAAATACACAAATTAATTACACTTAGTTACTATGGTAACATTATTATTGATGGAATTATCTTTAATCATTGTATGTGTGACCTCTGTCAGTTTAAACAGTTAACCACATGAACATATTATTGAATATAAATACACTGATAATAATATTTCATTCACTCTAGCTCCTATTAATATCAGTGTTTCTGTATCTGCAGTCATTATATTTCACTATTGTACATAGCAGGAATGAATTGGTAATAATTAGTATCATAGGTATACGTCAAATGCTCTCATTAAATATTCATCATAAGAATTACTTACTTTATTGTAATATTATCATTACTAATTATCATTACATATTCAATATACATTGTATCTACTACTGTCTACATGTACTTACTGAGTTCAATAACTGCTGTATCAGTGTATTTGGTCCATCCTCCAAACTCAATTATCCAGTTAGTAGTTGGGGTCACACTCCACACTGAGAGAGAATGCCAGTGTCTGTTAGTGATATGGTGTGGTAAATTAATCTATAAAATTAAAATGATAATAATTAATTTGTGTATATAATGATAATTAATTTGTGTATGACATATTAATTGATTTGATATCTGGTTAATAAACACAATAACTAACTCACAGTTTTATAGTCTGCACAGTGTGTTTTATGTAACACAAAGATGACATGATAAAATTAATAATACATAATATATTAATAGACAAGTATACACAACTGAGTGTGTTATTATATCATGTGAGTCCTCAATTAAGAACTTACTAAGTGTCTGCATGTACACACATACACATACACATACTAATGACACACTAACACACATACATGTATATCTATACATGCATAGACATATAAAGGTACATGTAAAGCATGCATAATTGCTCACACACATACACACACATGTACATGTTACATGTACACATGATGTACTTGTTAGTATACACATACACATATTAAAACATATGCACACATACACACAAATACAGTGGAACCCCTTAACTCCGGACACCATTGGGATCTACTGAAGTGTCCTTATTTCAGGGGTGTCCTTAAATCAGGGGTGGTAATAATAGTTATTAAATCAATTAATTCTATTAATTATTGTAGAGTCTAGTTTATTAGTTAGTATTTCATGGTCTTATGGATGAAAATAAGTCTAGAAGTGCAGTTTGTGTGCTGCTCGTAAAGGAAAGATGTAAAGTTAAAAATTATTGAAGAGGATATCAGTGTCCATTGCTAAATCTGCACAGCCTCTGTGGTCAAGGTAAGCTTGTACATCCTCTAAGAGTGATCACTTCTCAAAATGACTTCAACATGGGACTAATGGCTGTTGTTCCTCACCTACCTCTTCATCTCCGGCATCAGCATCATGGGATTCATTGAGTATTAGAATTATATTGATATGTAATTTTTTTTTAATAATAATAATATCTAGTCTAATGCATAATAATTGCCATTGTAACAACGATTAGATCTAAATCAATTATTATTTTAACCCATTGATCATCAGGACCACACCCACTGTCCATTCAAGAGGGGTTAATTTAATACAGCAAGATCATTCCCTTTTTCTAAAAGCGAGGGGTTCGCAACGGGAAGAAAATCTCTACGAGATTACAAAAATTACCAGGATTACCAATTGATTACTGGATTACCAGGAGAATTCCAAGATTATGAGTGGATTACCAAGATTATAGGTAGATTCTTTAGATTACCAGGGATTACAAGCTGGATTACTTGGATTACCAAGGATATTACAAGCTGGATTACTTGGATTACCAAGGATTACAAGTTGATTAATTTGATTTTAAGCCACACCTTATTAATTAATAATGGGTGTGGTTTTAATAACTTTAGATAAAAACCAAGGGGTGGGGTTTTAACTCCGGATACTCAAAATTATTATTAGGATTTTTCAGTAAATTTGTTAAATCCTGGATTACAGATTACTGAATTCTTCCAAGGGGTTTGCCTGTTGCAAACCCCTTGTCTAAAAGTGTCCGTATTCCGTATTTTCGGGGGTCCATTTTTCAGGGGGACTTTTGTACAGCAACAGTAGGAAGGGCGTTTTGTTGTACAGCTGCTGTCCGTAAGTCAAAGGTGTCCGTAATTCAGGAGTGTCCATAGGGAGGGGTTCCACTGTACATGTATGTACATACACAATGCACACAATGTATATAAAATACAATTTATTTTAATTCCAGCATTGACACTCTATCAATTGTGAATCCATCTTTACACACACACACACACAGACATATGTATATTCACACATATTTAGGTAAAAAAACAACCACAAAAACACAAACACACATTCACACTAAAAACAGACACACACACATACTGAATACCAGCATTATTTATCAGTAGTTTTCACTGAGTATCATAATATGTACATGTACATTACAAACCTCATGAGTTACGTACAAATTTAGTTAATCACTTTATGTTTCATTATCAAGCATCATAATATAATACTTACCAGTTTTTTCCATTTTCTTTTGTTAAAGTCCAGTAACCATACATCATAGGCAGGATATCCACCCACCACTAGTAAGTGTGATCCTGAACTAGTGGCAATCAGTACACTGGAATGACCCCATCTTTTCCTAGGCCATTGTACTGATCCTCCAGGATTAGGTACTTCTAATATATCCTGAGAGAATAATAAATTAAACTTTAATTGTAAATCCACAATTTGCAATCAAATAAATCTCACAATCAAAACCCATCCTACAGTATTAACTCACCACTGATGTCTTAGTGAAACTTATCATATACAGTTTATTACTGACTCCATTATCAGTATAGCCTCCGAACATTACCGCAGTGTTATTAGAAACTGGTGTTAGAGTGAAGTCATCAATAGGAGGTGGTCTGTCTCCAGTAACAACAGGAGATATCCATTGATCTAATAATAATGTACAAACATTCATGTATACTTACTTACCGCATACACACACATACATTATACACATTCATCATACATATGTATGTGTATATGTGTGTACATTATTATTTATACATACACATCATGCATAGACACACATCACTATCACATGATACACACACACACACTGATACACTCATGCATAACATGCACATTATAGATACACGTCACATACACACGTCATACATTCATAAATTCTCACATACATTATATGCACTATCATACACAGAAACATCATAATGTATGTATTAGTACACACACACACACGTCACATATAGACACACGTCACCATCACACACAAACACATGACACACAGAAACACACTAAAAAACACTTAATTATTAACAATCTGTTTTATGTACATTAATATAAATTATTCAGTTAGAAATACTGATCAACTATTGTGTATCAATGATGAGAATTACTGACCTGATGAAATCCTGTAATAATGCATCTCATTACATCTCAAATCACCATAATAATTATTATACTGAGCGTTAGGTTGCTTAGGTGTAGAAGATGATCCCAGTCCTCCGATTATTACGAGATAGTGTTCACTGTCAAAATGAGCTGATATCATTCTACAGCGGGCCTTCTGCATTGGACCATGATCAGAGCTAGAAAGAGAGAGATCCCTCCACTTGAATGAATCCACATTGAAACAATGTAAGCCATTTTGATAACTACCAACACCAGATCCACCGAAATAATATATGTCCTTCCCAATAGCAAAAGATGAATAGTTCAATTTTCCTGGTGTTGGGGTACCAGTAGTAGGTTTCTGGTCCCAAGAACCAGTTGGTAAGTGATACACCTCCATCACATCATAGTCTACTCCAGACCCGGCTCCACCCCACATATATAGGTAGTCTCCTACCTTTACTGTGGAGTGTCCCCTTCTCTCCTCTGGTTGATAGTCTATAGAGAACAAGAGGTACCAGTAACAGAATAACAGTAATATAGTGATGAGTTAGAATAAGGACAGGATACAGAGGAGTAAAGTGAGAGAGTAAGAGAGACAAAGAATGAATGAAAGAGATACAAAGAGAAGAGAATAGTGGCCCTCACTTTTAGATGCCATTCTTGCAAAATACCAGCCCCACCCAAACTATGCAACATAAGACCACACCCATTTATCCAAAATTTATAAAATGAGTTCCAGTTGTGGTGCCAGTAGAAAATCTACTGCTGGTTCTACTAGACTCAAACCAAATCCCAACTTCTTCAATTCTCCTAGTCAAAGTGATGGGGTAGGTAAGGAGGAGACTGTACTAGAATCCTTATTGAAAGAAGCTCGTAAAACTGGTTCACTGAACCTGTCAAACAGGTAGGAGGCTGTGTGAGACTCGTAACATGTTTTTTATTTACTAAAAATGACTTTAATCATTTTTGGATTTTCATTTTTATGACACATTAATGAACATGTGGGTGTATGTGTATAATTA